AAATCTTCTACCTCTTTACATGTATGTATCTGGTTCATTTGGGTCCAGAAATTAAGAACCCTGAATCAATTCCCATTAAGTGTCTCTTTTTCCCATCAGGTATGCAGTGTGCTCTTAGAAAAGATAACATAGCAATGCTGATTGTAACCCTACAAGTTTTTGGTCTTCATTCTCAGCTTTCCCCCTTTCTATTTATTTCATTAATTAATTTATATTTGTTTGTTTGTTTGTTTTGGTATTTGATGATTGATCCAGGACTTTGCACTGAGCTACTACATACCCAGACCCCACTTTTTATTTTTTATTTTGAGACAGGATCTTGCTATGTCACTAAGTTGCCTAGACTTGACTTGAAATTGTGATCCTCTTGCCTTAGCTTCCCAGAGTACTGGGATTGGAGGTGTACAACCGCATATGTGGCTTACCTTTCACTTTGAAAAAAACTAACTGTAGTTGTGTTGACCTTCTAATTCATTTAGTTTGTCTGAATTCTTCACCACTGTCCTTAAATATTTCCCCCAATTTCTCACCCTCACTCTCCTGCAGATAATGAAGTTTCTTTTCTTATCAAGAAAAATGGGAAGATCAAATACAACCTACTGAGACTCAGCTCCTTTCCCAAGGAAGGACTGTCCTTACTGTCCTTTTCAGTGCTGAACTTGGCAATCCCAAACACACACTGTTTAAAATTCACCTTGCCCTCGGCGTCCATGACTATATTGCTATTATTTCTCTGACATTTCTCTTTAGTCCTTTATGACTACTTTTTAAAATTTTTTAAAATTAAGTTTATTGGTACATTTTAGGCATACAATATGATAACATTCACCATTGGGATCTTGTACCTTTACATGACATATCTTGGTTCTTATTTTTTTCCCCATTCCCCTGCCCTCCCTTCCACCCCCTCCACCCTTCCCTATTTACACAGACTTTGTTTCCATGTTTTCCTTTTCTCATATCTATTCCTTTCCTTTCTTTCCTTTCCCCTACCCCTCCCACTTCCCCTTCCCCTTTGGACCTAAATGCTGGTATTTCTGGAGGATTCCAGTTTGAGCCACTGCTATTTTGGGTCTGTTGTATACTGAGGACTTGCAAATCTATACCTCTAGTCCTAACTTCCCCTTCTTCCTTCAGGGGTCAGGTTACCTCCTCATGCACTACTGTGAGTACCTCCAATCCAACATGATTTGACCGAATTCATCATCAGAACACCCACTTTCTAAAATTTGGTCTTCCTCCTCTATTCTTTTAGAATTTTAGAATGGTTGATTCTAAGTGATGGTAGACCCAAGATTTTCAGCTATTTTAAAACATCACACTGTCTAATAAAAATGAGTTCATATATGTAATTAAAATTTTTTGGTAGCCACATTAAAAAAATAAACCAAACAAATTTATTTTTTAAATTTGATTTTAAGTCAATGAAAAATGGTATCATTTTTATATGTAATAAATTTTAAAAAATAATTAAATATTTTATTTATTTTGTTTTTTATGTCCCTTTTTATGTTTAGATTTCTTTTATTCATTAAGTTTATTGGTATATTTTAGGTATATAATATGATCACATTCATCATTGGGAATTTGTACCTTTACATGATATATCTTTGTTCTTATTTTTTTCCCCATTCTCCTGCCCTTTTTTCCACCTCTCTATTCCTCTCTATTTACAAAGACTTTGTTTCTGTTTTTCCCTTTTCTCATATTTTTTCCTTTCCCTTCTTTCCTTTTCTCTACCTCTTGAACTTCCCCTTCCCCTTTGGGCCTTATCTTCCTATTTCATATTATCTATTATACATTTTGATCTTATTTACACTTTTAGTTTCATGTCATCTGCAAATAGTGACAATTTGACTTCTTCATTTCCTAGCTTTATTCCTTTTCTTTCTTTCTTTCTTTTTAAATTGCTGTGGCTAATGTTTCCAGAACTGTGTTGCACAGGAGTGGTGATAGTGGACATCCCTGTCTTGTTCCTGATTTTAGTATGAAGAATTTCAGTTTTTGACTGTTTAGTATGATGTTGGCTGTTGGTTTTTCATAGATGGCTTTTATCAGGTTGAGATAAAGACTATCTGTGCCAATTTTCTGTAGGGTTTTTATCATGAACAGGTGTTGGGTTTATTTACTTTGTATTAAATTTTCAAATTCATTGTATACCTATTATACATATCAATTGAAACTAGTCATTGGGGCCCAGAAATCAGGAATGGCTCTTAGCTAATAGCTCCTCTGCTAGTTCTAGAGTCTTTCCTTTTACCGATCCCCTCTCTTCACATGGTAAGTTCTGTTGACTTTTTTCCCTAGGTAGTTCTCCAGTATATTCATCTTTTAAAACCTTATATATTGTGGCTTTAATTCACACATTGGGCATTTCTCACTTGGGTTATAGTAGTAACTTACAGGACCTAGTTTCTCTGGCCCAAGGAGCACGGAAGACCCATTGAAATGCAAGAGGATGTAGTAAGATAGAAATTAAGAGAACAGCCCAGATTTATTAATATATATATTGATACCAGTGCCCTGGTGCTGTTATCACCAAGAGGTTAATAATAAAATGATATATGTAGCATAACTCCTATCCCCCACAAAGATTTTACATGTTAAAAACATTATTTATTTATTTCACTGTCATACTATGTTTTCAAATTTTTCTCCATGTATTTTAGTATAATATGTACAATTTATGAATATAATAGTCATATATAGACTTTTAAAATAAATATATATGTATTAGCGATGTGAATCTGAAATTTATTAATTTAGTTTTGGTACTTCTTGGGGATTGAGATGAGTGAAATTCAAGGTTTCACTGAACTAGATCCACTCCAATGTCATCCCACCTCCTCCTTCATCCTCAATGCCTTTATCCCCAACTCTCATTTTCTGCATTTCGTGGCTCTTTCCTACTTGGTTCTTATTTGTCCTTCTCTGTGGAAACACTACTTGGCCCGACTAATTCTGTTCCCCCTAAGGATCTTCTGAGGTCTCATCTCAGGAGTTGTAACATCTCTGTTACAACTTCCTCGGTTTTATTGGCTGTATCTGTGTTGGCATACATCTCTTACTGTATGATCACAGTGAAATTATGTCTATAGGTTTGCCTTCCCCTTAAATTGTAAGATTCTTGAGGACATGGATTGTGACATCAAAATGCTTTTTTATTTTGAAATATAGTTTCTAAAGAAATGAGCTAAATTCATGGCTCCTCTGAATAGAGCCAGCCTGTTTTACTAGAATGTAAAGTGGCAATTTTCTTGTAATTTGTGGAATATCTAGAATATTTTTTCTATGTCTGAAAATAATTAATAAAATGAAATTCATGAATTAGTATACTTCCAGTAGTAAGCTATTTTGAGACCTGGTAGGACGGTAATAACCTTGGTGTGAAATAATTTTACCGGTTTCTTCTTACTGAAGACTAGATGTGATCATTTGTTCTAAGAAAAATGAAGTTTTGATTTTATGTATTGGATGTGTATTTAAAGGGGGTTGTAATCTTCCATATGAATAAGAATCCTTGGGAATATATTAAAATGTAACTTCCTACTTTTCATATTCTAATTCATTCAGAGTGGTAGCTGGCTCAGGAATTTACATTTTTAGAAAGCATTCCAATGATTACAATATAGCTAATAGAAACCATACTCCAATATATTATTTTCTTCTTTCTGGAGTAGAGAGTAAGAAAAAGGGGTAATTTTGGTCAGGGGAGAAGTCTGCTTCAGTCTGGACCTGAGAGAGCTGCTCTAAGTAGGTTTATAAATGCAACAGAGAGCTAGAAGGGAGAATAGACTCCCAGGAGGGGCTGAAACAAGGAATTAAGGGTGGCTAGGCCTAGGGATGTGGTGAGAGGTTTGGAAGATTAGCAAGGAGAACCTTGTCTTATTTCATAATTTTCCCTAGGACTGGCTTTCCTCCTTAACTAGAAAATAGCAATGTAAAAATAAAATCTGATTATTAGAGTATTTTCATCTTCCTGTAGAAACCGATAATCATTAAATGAATAATTTTTAGTATTTCAGGATCTCTAAGATGTTTAATGACTTTGGTATAGGACAATTATTGACATTTAGCTCTTTAACTTATTTATACTTTGGGTTTCTCATATAAGAGAGACTATGCAGTATTTTAGCTTGTGTGTCTGATGACATTTAGGAAAATATCATATAATTCCATATAGAATTGCATTTCTGATTCTATGACATCAAAATTATGTAGCTTCTAGGATATAATAAACTATGCCATGTGGAAAACAATATAACTTTGCAACAACTGTGCAGGGAAAATGCGTTTATCCTTAAATACCTCTTATAAATAAATCTATGGTCCAAATCTATGGTGCAGGTTGTTAATGGTCCAAAGTATGAAAACTAAAGATTTTCATATGAAGATGCTACATGTTTCATGTGTAGCAAATAATAACCAGAAATAGATGAATAAATCAAAGCCATTAAAAAGCCCAAACTTTTCATTTTAGTTTATTATTTCAGCTTTCTTCCTCAATCAACCCTATTCATGGCTGTTAACAAGGAGCTAATTGGTTGGCTGGAGTTTCTGCTTTTTCACTATTTGCTGTCCAGTCCCTGATGGAAATCCTAATGTGCTGCAAGCCAGGCAGACAAATGAACAAGTAGGCTGGAAGGAGAGGAGAGGCAGCATGCGTGGAGAGTCTATTGTTCATCCAATCAACTAAATATGTTTTAATTGTAGCAGCAATGCCATAAATAGGCCTGGCACAAGTCTGTTCGGCTGCCTCATTTCATTCCTGTCTGTTTCAGTCACTTTGCTTCTGCCGTCTATATGAGTCCAAGAAATTTTTATTTTATTCACTTTTGGAAGATAAAATCTCTGGAGTAGCTCAGTGGAAGTTGAGCTTTGAGGGGAACAGTGCTATTCTCATTGAGATCTTGTTTTTAACTTGACTTAGTCTAAGACCTTGTATTTCCCCCAGGCTTATGTTAAACTAAGCACTTGCGCTGGTGTCTGCTCTCTTGCAGGTCATTCGTAAGGGGTGGCTGACCATCAGTAACATTGGCATCATGAAAGGAGGCTCGAAGGGGTACTGGTTCGTCCTCACTGCAGAAAGCTTGTCCTGGTATAAAGATGATGAGGTAAGCCACCGAGAATGACAGAGTTTTCTTACCAAAGTGTGTCTACTTTTAAATGAATTGAAACTTTTGTGATACACAGTTTCCAGACACCACTGGTTCTGTTTCAAGGAGATTTAGCTTGGAATGTTTATTTAAAGGACTTTTTTCCCCCTCTCACAGATTTTTAATTTTACACTATTTTCCTTGAATTTCTTTTCCTGTTCATTTCTTTAGTGTAATCATATTTTGCTTATCTGAAGAATGATGTTAATTGTCAGGAGTAACTTCCTTATGATACTGGTGAAGTGAAAGCAATTTTCATTGTAAAATACATTGAAAAGTCCTAAGGTAATAGAACATCTTGAGAGTGAAATTAATGACATCGAGGCAGAGTTAATAAAGCATTTTGGAATGGTTCTACATATATCTCAAATGAAAGGCTTTTTGAGAAAGTTCACGTCAGTGGTTTTCAGGTGAATCCCAGATCATTGTTTATACAAATTTTATTCGTTGAGAATTTGATATCTTTGTAAAAGCATGAATTATGATAGTTATGGTGTTCTGTCTCTTGGTAGATGTTAGTAATTTTGGTCCTGTGACTTACTGTTTATTAAAATGTGATAGCTATATAAGTGTAGAAAAATTCGTATTAGTCTTATAGAATCTTTACTGTAGTATAAACTGATATGGCTAGATTTGGGAGGGCATGGATGGAAATTAAACTATGCTTTGGAAATTTTAATACCTGTGGCCTGACCTAATAAGTTTTTAGTATTTATAATGCAACATTGCAACCAATACATAGGAATGCTCTGTGACAGCAAAACAACACACAGGTGAGATCATCTCCATTTTATTTGGCTATTAAGGGCATATATTTCTACAGTAAAAGCCCTTCCTATCTTAGATTAATATTGAAAGCCTTATAAGGTACTTTTATTAGTTCCTGGAGGAAAAGCTTCATGCCTTACGGTTCTTTCCTTTTCCCAAGTGCTTTGTGTGCAATAGTGTGTTAAAAAATATTGGATAATTGGTTGATTGCCAGTAAGTTTTCTGTAATAGGGGAGCTCAAATCCTGTGGAAATGTCAAAACAAAATTGCTGTTCAAAAGCTTATTTTTAGGGCTGGGGATTTAGCTCAGTGGTTTCGCCGCCTGCTGCGCAAGCGCAAGGACCCGAGTTTGATCCCCATACCAAAAAAAAAAAAAAAAAAGCTTATTTTTAAATTTTTGTGTCACTGACCTCATTGAAAAGTGGGATTGGCTGTTATTTGAGTATGAGGATTAACAATGGTTCCTTTCCTGTACTGGCTGCTTAGACATCCCATCATTCTGTGGGAAGCTCTCATTTTAAAGGTCATCACAGCTTGAGGAGCTCTGAGATACCTCTCTCTATCTACATAGTGATATCTCATCCGTATGAAAATCAGTAAATAGATGATCTTCTTTTCTTTGCTGTTCAGTTGCTCTAATATCCATTCTGGATATACCTCCTCCAAGGATTTCGATGGTCATATGTACATTTAAACCCATTGTCAATCTTGGAAAAGTTTTTAGTTACATGAAGGGAAACAAAAGATTTTTACTGAGAAATCATAATGGTAACAGCTAGTGTTTTGTGTTTATTAATTAACTCATTTAACCCATATCACAACCCTAGGATAGTTACTATTACTACTGTTATTTTTCAGAGTAGAAAAATAAATACAGACCAACCAAAAACAAAACACTCAACCTTTTGAAAAGTAATTTCTGTAAGACTCAGTTCCTCCTATTGTGGAATGTTCCGCATTGGTGAGGATAACTAATTTCCCAAGGTCACATAGCCAGTGGTGGCAAAGGAGAAAAATGTGCTGTCCACCGCAAATGTGGGCAATGATCCTAGTGATGCCTGGGGTTATACAACTCATCCTCACCCCACAGGGGGTTTAGGAGGATGATTTCCAGGTGTCTCAGCATTGACCTGTTCCTGGATGTTACCATCACGGGCGCTGGGGACTCCAGAGTAGCTACTGCTGTTGTAGTATAGCTTTAGGGCTCTCTTGCCTGGCTGGTGTGGGTCCTGAAATAAGCACTTTAGAAGCTTGTAAGTTCCTCATGCCTCCTGAAGGGAAGGAAGAAGGCTTGAGAGCTTGGTGAGTTCATGTTGCTGGTCATCTCCTCCTTTCTGCTAAAGACTCAGGATGACTTCTTCCAAAATCCCCGCTACTTAAGTTCCCTCATGATTCCAACAAATAGAAAATAACTGGGTGCAGTTGTAGTGTCACCTGAGTGCCAGTGAACATTTTATTACAGCTATAGGTGTGGAGGATGACTGGGGACAGGGGAGAATAAGAATTACCCTAGAAATAAAGTGAAATGATTCACATGAAGAAACTCTAGGAAAGAGTAGTTTATTTTATATCATGTCAAAAATAGGAAATGACAGACAAGATTTTTTCTATGTGGAATGAACAACCAAATAGACTAATAATATTATATCAACTGTTAAATGCTCGGAAGAAAATAAAGCAGGGTAATGAGCGAGAAAGTGGTGGGGAAGAGCCTTTTTTTTTTGGTACTGGGAATTGAACTCGGGTCCTTGCACTTGCGCAGCAGGTGGCAAAACCATTGAGCTAAATCCCCGGTCCAGAGAGCCTTTTAAATTGGATGATTGGAAAGTAACATTTGAGCAGAAATTGAGATGATGAGCTAAGAGGACAATTTTTGTTGAAGGACATTCCAGTTGAGGGAACAATAAGTGTAAAAACCCAAGAAATAAGAACTTATAAAAAGCTTGTGGCCTAAATAGATAAAGAAATAGGAAATAAAGTCAGGGGCACAAGGTGTGCGTATGAGGGAGTTGTAAGTTTCCACTTGATGATTTCAATTTTATTACAGGGATAACTGAAAGCCATTGGGGTGGCCCAGCAGGGTGTGACATGATTGGATTTGTGGCTTAGAAAGCTTACTCAGGCTGCCTGGTTGTGCATGATATGGGGGTGGGATATGTGTGTGGAAAAAGTGGGGTTGGCAAGAATAGAAGAAACGAGACCAGCTGGGGCAAGGTCCCAGTGCTCCAGGAAAAAGATGCTGGTGGCTTGTTCTGCATAGAAGCTGGGAGTGAGGGGCATTCAAGTTGAGGGTGACAGGTCTGTGTGTTGCATGTAGTTATACTGCAGCCATTAGCTATGGTCGCTCATTCAGAGTTCTACTCATGAAACAAATAGAAAGTTTGCAAAATATGAATCCCTCACTCAAAATGACTATGATTTTGAAGTTGTCTGTGGCAGTTGGACAGACCCATTTCTGCTGAAGCTGCCATTATTCATTCCCACTTTGCCATTGGCTACTGCCAGTGTCGTTCTCTGTCATGCTTCATTTGCTGCTGTTGGCAGAGTTGCCTGTTTCTGCAGACTGCTTCCAAGCCTACCGTCAGGGTGAAAGAGCAGACAACACTGTCCTTGGTTTTTGTAGTATTTAACAAGTAGTTATTAGCTGTGCTGCTAGCCAAGGTTGGAAGGTGGGTATGGAAAAATATCAAGCAGAAAATCTCAGGAAGGTAGGTCTCGAGGAACATGCATTGTTGGCCTATTGGATTTGCACAGCACTCACTTGTGAGCAGCAGGATTTTAAATGATGTTTAGATTTCATAAATGCCTTGCTGCCATAGTTCAACTACCTGTGGATTAAACATGGTTCTGTGGACAGTCTTAAAACCCAAAGTTTAGAGTATGCCTTTGTGAAAATAAACTAGAGCTCTAACTTAATTTTTGGAGCCAAGATGTTGGTAAATTGAGAGTTTGTATTTTGTTCCTATACATATATCAGCATTACATACTTTGGAAATCCAGCACAGGACAATTTATCTTTCTTAGTCAAGAAAAGTTGACATGTAAAATATTACTAAGCTAACTGTACATCCATTCATTTATTCAATAATAAATTTATACTTACATTTTCATAGAGCATTTTTATGTGGTCTAACATCCTCCTGCTATTTTAAATAATTAATAATGGTATATTTTCATTATAATGTAAATGACTGCTTAATAAATAGCATTTATGTCATATGAATATGTATATGTGGTTTTATTTAACTTATTTTTTGGATGTTTTAAATTTTATTTTTAAAATTAATTTTATCGGTACACTTTTGATATACATAATGATCACATTCATCATAAGGAATTTGTACTTATACATAATATATCTTGATCTCTTTTTTCTCCATTCCCATCCCCTCCTTTCAACCATTCTTCTCCTCCTTATTTACAAAAACTTTGTTGTCATTTTTTCCTTCTATTCTCTTTCTTTTTCCTTTTCTCTTCCTTCCCTTCTTTTCCTCCACCTTATTCCCTTTCCCACTGAACATTTTCTTCCTACATCCCAATATCTGTAATCCATTTTGGTCCTTATTTAACTTATGATAGGTTTGTTATAAATGTAAACAATGTATGAAATATATTTGTGATTAACAAACAATAGCTCAAACTGCTTTACAGGGGGGCGTTAACTGAACACAAGACCCTATAAATCATATGCATGGTGCCGTGGAAAGGCTGAGGTGCTTGTGGACATGGTTTTACTATGACTAATTGCCAATGCTGTATCAATTTTTGAGAGATAGGATATATGGGATCTGATTTTCTTAGCAGAAGATGGTAAGGTTCAGAAAACAAGGAGTTCAGATCCCATTTCTTCAGTGAGACTCTATATTGTCTTCCCTCCTACATCTTAACCAAGAATTATGGATGATACTTTCAAAGGGTTTGGTTTCTATCCAAGATGGCACGATAACCCTATGTAATAATTTTAACTGAACTTGGCATGACTGGAATAGTGAGACCATCATTATTATTCTAATTTCTCACTATAAGAAATGGATCTTTCCACCCTATTATTGAATTTTGAATGGAGGCAAGCCTCTGTAGACTGAACTCTTTTTTTTTTGATACCAGAGATTGAACTCGGGATCTTGCACTTGCGAGGCAGGCGGCGGAACCACTGAGCTAAATCCCTGGCCCGGAATGTACTTTTTGAA